ACACTGACATTAACAATGATGAGTTGTGTTCTCGTATGAGTTGTAATGCTACCCCATACCATGGCACTTGTCACCCCAAACTGGTTATAGAGAGTGTCGCTTAAACGTTCTCCTAGACGCCTGGATACCCTGGCAATACTGTCCAGATAAAAAACACAACTTTAGCACATCTGTTAACAGTATATTGTCGCAGGCTCGTCTTCAAATGCGAAGATGCTGTCGACATTAAACAAGTAAAAGGGCAGTCTTGTTGACGTGTCAACGACCAGCCCATGCGAAAACAAGGATGTTGCAATGCAGTTGACAACGTCTCCAAAGGGATAACATTGTGTATCAATGAACACCGAAATGTCTTATGTTTGGCCTTATGCAGGTTACCTTATTGGTGAGAAAGTAAGAAAGTTTATGGATAACAACTTCTTTATTATATATGATGCGACGTTTCGGTATGGATTCTTATACCGTTGTCTAAGAAAGTTTATGGATAACAACTTCTTTATTATATATGAAACGTCGCATCATATATAATAAAGAAGTTGTTATCCATAAACTTTCTTACTTTCTTATTAGTCACCAACTTCTAAATGCCAATCAAACATAACTACCTTATTGGTGGTAGGCCTCAATTTTCAGCAAACGTTGTTTCAGTTCAACGTCTTTATGAACACTTGATATCCGAAAACATTTTTTCACGTTCCAAATCCACGCGTATCATGCTACCAACAATCGGCAAACTGCGCTCTTGTGAACAAACACGGGCAAAGGGTCAATCACGACCATGAAGTTACAGAGATGACATTTCATAAGTATGCATTGTAAGGAGCATTATTGAGTTTCAGTTTCATTTGATTTATTGAACTATACATAAAGCACGGATAATTTGTATACTTTTCGTTTGGTTTATATTCATCATAGCAACAGTACAATACATTGTCTAGCTCATCAGAAACCAACGATTCTGTGCACAGGAAGTCTGCAGCCTTTTCATTTCGACCCCTTTCTTCGATCTTTGTTGGGGCGGTGGGGTAGCCTAATGGTTAAAGCGTTGGCTCGTCACGCCGAAGACCCGGGTTCGAATCCCCACATGGGCACAATGTGTGAAGCCCATTTCTGGTCTCCCCCGCCGTGATGTTGCTGGAATATTGCTAAAAGCGGCGTAAAACCAAACTCAGTCAGTCAGTCGATCTTTGTTTGATTTCATTTATATATGGTATGTTACTGCACGACGTCAATGTTGCATGTACTGTTCAAAGCGGCACTACGCCCATATCACTTATTCATATTTTAGGGAAAAAAATGTTAAGTATGAACGAGATACTATTCCTGCACATTCATATATTGTGAGACATGTATTTCTGATTGAAAAATCTGTATCGAATCCAAAATCTGTCTTTTCAGAGCATAGTGTTTTGCTTTGAGTAAACAGCTTTGATATAAGGGTAATATATAAGAAAAAACATGCATAAACTTGATAAGAGAAATTTATAAGCATGTTTTCAAGATCATATATCTTAAACATAGGAAGAGTTTTTTTATCCTTCTAAAGTAAATATGTAAAGATAAACATTGTAGATTATCCAGTGTTTCGTGTCGCCATTGCATTGTGAGATAATAGACTGGTAATGTTAGTCCGTTTGTCTCCAAATGAGAATAAATTGCAAAATAGTCAATTAAATGTTAGTAGGTGCATGGCAATGGATGTCCTGTACCTAACGTCTGCTGTTTGTTATTTTTGTACCCATCATTGGAACAAAGTTTTCCAAGAAACTTATCACGTTGTGATGTGCACAAGCTGACATCTTAGGAGGAAAGGGACAGAGCGTTAGGCGGAACAGCGCAAACACGTACTGCACATGCTATATACTGTTCGCCGTTGTTGACTGACTGATAGATTCCTTATTCATCTTATTGGAAACAGTTGGTTTTAAGGATATGGTTTCTTTCAGTGTGAAGCTGAATGGGAAAATATTTTATGCCATTAATAAATACTTGAAACGGGCTTCTAAAGATCTGATATGTCTCCTAACAAGCCGAAAAACGTTGTCCTTCGGCAAGTGCTAGCAAGTGAGGAATATCCGGTGTTAGACAGTTTTCAGAAAAATCAACTCAATTGTTAAACTGCATGCAGGAAGTACGTAGTCCATTCTACATTTAAGGTCACAACACACGTACACGCCACTATGACTATTGAAGAAAGTGTTACTGGAGACGTGGGTAAATGCCTCCCACACAGCCAGCATGCAGTTAGTAGGTACCCAGTGGGGTATGGGAAAAGGTGAAAGACTGACATGCTGGCTATGTGTTTCTCCCAGGCTGTGTTCTCGTCTTTCGCTCCAAGGCCACGGACAACAGGGACAACCACACAGCAATGGAGGGCAAGGTAGATCTGGGGTGAAAAGTAGATTAGTTCTTGCTTTGTCTTCCATCTATTACCATGGACAATACACCATATCACAGTTTGCAGGATCCAGAGAACAAGGTCCCGACGTCAAATAGCCTTAAAGGAGTTAATTATTTCTCCCAAACCACACCTCTATGAATCTTGAATTCCAACAAACCTGACCCCGTTTATATGATTGACAATTAAAATAAAGATCAAGGTCATCCGATTTTACGACTTCTCCTTTCAACTCCAATCTGAGTAAGTGAGTGTAGTTTTACGCCGCTTTTAGCAATATTCTAGCCATATCGCGTCAGGGGACACCAAAATGGGTGGGGAATGTGGGGAATCGAGCCCGAGTCTTCGGCGTGACAAGCGAAAGCTTTAACCACTAGGCCATATCCCACCGCCCTGCACTCCGGTCTGTGACAATTGGTCGCAACGTTTAAATTCCAGAATGTTGAAAAGTTAGTAAATATATCTAGTGGACGGGTAACATGGCAGCGTTGCTGCTTACAAAAGACGTCAACGAGGTACAATAGATATACTGGTCACGTGATGGTCACGTCACGCAACAGCCCCACCTATAGTTGTGACCATTATCAGTGACAAACATTTTCGAAGGGTGAATGAGTGAAAATTTTACGTGACATCGGCAATATTTCAGCCATATCGTATTTTCGTGGAAGAGGGTTTTGACATGAGCGAGTGAGATTGCAACTAAATTATTTCGAGACGACCCCTCTTTTGCTGTCACTCCCGGGACCGTTGTGTAGCATGTACAGTACGTGTTTGGTGAAATATGTAATTGGGTAACGACTTGGGGTTTAGAAGGAGTGAGTGAGTTTAGTTTTATGCTGCACTCAGCAATATTCCAGCTATATGGCGGCGGTCTGTAAATAATCGAGTCTGGATAAGACAATCTAGTGATCAACAGCATGAGCATCGATCTGCGCATTTGGGAACCGATGACACTTGTCAACCAAGTCAGCGAGCCTGACCCAACGGTCCCGCTAGTCGCCTCTTACGACAAGCATGGGTTACTGAAGATCAATATTCTAACCCGGACCTTCACGGGTCGGTTTAGAGGAAGTCAAACACATCATTGTGTATCTCTTTCCGACAATACTGTATGGTTTGAAAGTATTTTGCTGACCCACATCCGTCCCTTACCACCCTTTCCAATATTCATGCAGCATCTCTTCGTGGACACTTCCCCCTATAAGTGACAAAGGTTTTACCTAAATAGTTTTGGAGTTACCCATCAGATAGAAAGTGTGTCCAATTAGTTTCTTCAACTAATCCATTAATTATAAAAAGTTTAGCCAAATTCATCTTCTTAGCCCAACAGAAGAGACAGAACTTTCTTTGATTTTGATAATGAATTGACAATGATGATATTTCACATGACAATATGTCCAATACTTCACAATATGCATACTGGTGCTCGCATATACATGTACAAGTTGTAAAACTTGAAAATATAAAATGGGCCGGGGCCTCATTACAATTTAAGGAATAAACTCATTCATTCAGTGACCTGCTTTGTCCCTGTTGAATATGGAAATTTACGAAATAATTATCATCTCAAACAGAACCGTTAGATTTCCATGCCATACGTCAACCTCCATATATAGTAGTGATACGTTCTTACAACCCCCTCTTTCGACGTCTTTTTTCATTAGCTCTCTTCGTGATCTAGGTTCTCCACACCTGTTATAAATAACCAATCCGTTACGAGGTATTGTTTTTCATAACACTTGTAAAGATGACCGAATCCTAAGTTGAAGTTGGTAATTCATATGATCCACAAATAGGGAATTTTTCCACGATTCGCACATGCATGTACCGTGAACCATATTAATGACGAGTCAAGTTTGACTGTATACTGAATCATGCTGTCACCTTCCCTTCCTAGCCAGCATTTCCTACTCTGAATGTCTTCTTTGATGGACATTTTAGAGTGAGTGAGTGAGTGAGTAAGTTAAGTTTTACGCCGCACTCAGCAATATTCCAGCTATATGGCGTCGGTCTGTAAATAATCGAGTCTGGACCAGACAATCCAGTGATCAACAGCATGAGCATCGATCTGCGCAAATGGAAACCGATGACATGTGTCAACCAAGTAAGTGAGCCTGACCCCCGATCCCGTTTTTCGCCTTTTACGACAAGCATAGTCGCCTTTTGTGGCAAGCATGAGTTGCTGAAGACCTATTCTACCCCGGATCTGCACGGGTCGGCATTTTAGAAGTTGAGTTGATGATGAATGATGTCACTTGCTTGACAGCGACATTAGAATCTATGTCGAAACGTCGCCCTTCACAGGATAAAAAGAAGATGTATATCAATAAAAATTGTCATCATTCTACTCTGAATGTGTTCAGTTAACACACATACAACAGTTAAACATCAGTATCACTTTCCTACGTGAACGAATTATCGTTATTGTATAATTCTCGAAAAACAATTCCACCATAATTTGTTTTTACAAATGTTCCCGTGAATTCCTGGCTCTCATAACCGGGACACTGTCGTAAAACTGGTTCTGCCGGTACACTGCGCAGAGCACGCAACCTAAAGCATAGACATCACTGAGCAACACATCTGTAGTCTCTCCCCTCCGTGACCTTCGACCTGCCCTAACGGCGATATTGGGGTAAAAGCGAGTCGTGTGTACCTGTGGCCCGGGCATATCGCACACCGCTTCACGGAAGCAAGACGTTATGGCGGGCAGGGAGCTCTACATTTGCGTTTGTCTCGCGATCACAAGTGAGTGTATTCATAAAAGTCTTTTTATATTATGGATCATAGATTAATTTGTCTATATATTGTAATCACTGGCTGCCAAAACAAAACTGTTTTTCTGATTGCACATGTTTAATACATTGCCATCGGCAGTTTGTTTTTCTTCCTCTTTCGTACATTTGACCCCAGCAGCAAACAGTGCTAAAGCCATGTACAACATTTGACTGTTTTCTATAAAATGCAAGGCGGTACTTTGGCTGGAATGAGCAATGACTGTGGTGTCAGCTTGTGTGTTGTATTATATAAATGCATGTCGTTGTGTCAATAACCTGGCGTTAAACAAGTTCACCAGCTGTTCTTGAATTTGGTGTTTTACAGAAATATGTACTGATAAATCTATCTCATTCACGGATAAGTATGTGTGATTAATTTATTGTAATGTCACAGTAGGAATACCATATTGGTCTACTTTGGCTATGAACGATGTGGACTACCTTCACATAAACTACGTTTAGAACGTCTGTATGTCAATGCGCCTTATGACAATCTCGAATATTATTCAACTATTGCGTACGTTATATTACACTGCAATACATGCACTGGGGCTGTTGGCGAATGTTAATCTGTTATATGATATGGATACTATTCATGTCAGACATATCCAATGCTGATTTTCCAATCAATTATAAACAGGTAACTCAATGCAAGTAAGTGGAACCATGCAGGTTTGATCAAAGCATGTATAACGGTAGACTGTGGGAAAGGGACTGAGTTAAGTTTGTCTTAACAGTTGCGTATTCTAAGACTAGGAATGCAATAGTGTGGAGTTTATACAAAAAAATACAACAGGTGCAGGGTCCGTTCGTATCTCTTCGCAAACAGACTGAGCGAGTTTAGCACCGGTTTTGTAAGAGTAGCATTCATTTCACGCCAACAGACACCAGACATGGTCTTGGCACAATGTAGCAATTAATGCTCAGAATCGAACTATATTCCCCTGTGTAAATATGGCTCACATTTTCCTCTTGGCTAAACCATCGTCCATTTGCATAGATTGGTATTTAGGGTTGCCTAGTGGTTAAAGCGTTCGCTCGACACACCGAAGACACAGGTTCGATTCCCAACAAGGTACTATTTGTGAAGTATGATAGGGCTGGGCCGGGACACCACAGTGATGCATAGATGATACCAACTCACTCATAAATATATAAATCAACCTATGAAAAACAATGAAAAGGGCCATGTTGATTTGGCTGACTATGTGTCATCGCAAACCGAAGGCGGCTTTTAGTATCTATCACTGGATTGTCTGATCCAGTCTCGGTTATTCGCAGACAGACGTCATATAGCTGAACTGCGTTGAACAGCGAATATACAAGACGATCTGCTGACTGTATGTGTGTGTCAGAGTGGGAATGAATAGGAAATGTCAGTGTTGTCAGTTACGTCAACATGTTTTGCAGACGTACAACCTTCAGATCCGTGTGTACTGTAGGAGCGTAACCAACAACAAAGTCACTCCTTGCCTCATTTGCGCTTTGTGATTTTGAAAGAACACAGTTCTCTCAGCGTGCGGATGGGAGAAACATACACGTCGTACACGGCCACGACATTACGACGTGTTATTGACGCTACTACCGAACACAAAAGGCATACATTTCTGCCTTGCCATGAAAAGTACATTATGCAGGGACGCGACATGCACCTTTGTGACGAGTGTGTAACATTTGTGTGAATAAAAGACAATGCATACCCGAAGGCGGCATGTTCACATATGCATACAAAAACACATGACTGACAGTTAAGCGATGGTTAACGGCACTCTTGTGTTTTCACAACTATCAATATATGCATGTATGTATATGTGCATTTACTGTTAGTATTCCCTCTATAGTTGTTTCAGTGTTTACCTCTGTATATATAATGTGTATATACGTGTGTGTTTGTTATTCCGTATCCTGTTGTTTCAGTGTTTATCTATGTGTATATTATATCTTCATATATGCATATTTTCCGTTCCCGCTTTTATTGTATCCAAGTTTGCCTGTGTACATGCATAATTCCGTCTTCCGTTTCGATGTTAATCTTGGTGTGTGTGTATACATATATGTATAGTTATTATCTGTGTCAGTGTTTATAAATGTACATACAATGTTTACATATAGTCACATGTATTATTCCCCTTACGTTGCCGATGTATCGGGTCTGTTGAGAAGTCTATAAGTTTATAGCTTCACACCTAAAACAAGGGCACACTATGCCTTGTGGCAGGAATGTAGCTAAATCGGGGAAAATGAATATCTGAATCAAAAAGCGTTTATGCCTCTATGTAAATGAGAGTATGGTAAATCTTATCATTTTATTATATAGTTATAAGTTTAAATAAGTAAAACATTATACCTTTCATTAGTAAAACATTAGACCTTTTCATTTTCCGGTCCATGGCCGATGGGGTAGCCTAGTGGTTATTGTGTTCGCTCGTGGCATCGACAGCCCTGGTTCGATCACCGACAGGGGTACAATATATGAATGCCATTTCTGGTGACCCCCTCCGTGACATTGATGAATGACAGCGTGTGATTTCCTGGCAAAATAATGGCAGTATGCATATATCTGCTCAACAGTGTCTGCTCTGTCCCTATGTAAATACATGTATGTGTCAACAGTAAATACATGTATGTGTCAACAGAGAGTTCCCGTGTCTCCGGGATGTAAATGAGTAACCGGAGTGTCAGTGTAACCTGAGATGAACATGTCAACCCAGCATCCTGACAGTAGGCACAGGATGACTGAAGAGAAGGCGGTGTACGGCGCTCTAGGACCTTCCTTCGCATTTGTTTCTGTGAAGCAAGACCTTTTTTATAAAACCGTTTACGAATCTGCCGACACCAGAAATGTTAAACTATATATATATATATATATATCTGAAAAGAGTGTTTTCATCCAGAAATACATCAAACGTTACAACGAAGCCAAATGATTTACTGTCGCCAATTCAGCCTTGACATTTTTGTATTGTTTTTACCCTGTTCTTCCTACTAAATACCATTCAACATACAACCGTTAAACTTCAACTTTATCAACATACCAAAACTATAAAGATATTACCAGAGGCGAGTACATTTGTGTATCTTTCCTCACACTTGAAAAAATATATATCAACGTTAACTTGTTTCCACGCACAGTTCCGGGTCCTTGAAGGTACATGCAGACCCCGAGTACCGTTATGATGTAACACAAATACAAAACAGGGCCCTTATTCTCGAAACGTTCGTAGCCCTAAGAATTCTTAACTTTGATCGTAGCCAATGTGTTAAGAATGGGTTTAAGAAGTTCGTAGGGCTACTAACGTTTCGAGAATAGGGGCCCAGGGAGATAAGATTAAGATGCAACCAGTTAAGGTTATTGTTTATTCAATCAAAATAGGGCGTGATTTAATCCAAGCCTCCGCTTATTCATACACTCGACACTTACGGGATATCAATTACCTGTGACAGTTAGTGTACCTAGGGGCAAGTTGTCACCATCCCTCGTAACTCTCTCACATTGCCGTTAACCTATATCTCTTTACACTGGTTGTACGTCTTCCTCTTTTGCTTCATGATCTGCATTATGTCAGACTAAATACTAAATACTGGGAAACAATGGAGGAACATGCCCCACGGCTTTAGATTCAATCAATGAGTGACTTTCTGTGTTTGAATATAATTAATATAACTGTGATATTAATATAACCGAGTATATTAATAAGAAACTTTAGATCAAATTAATGAATGACTTCTTGTGTTTGAACATTATGAATATAACTGTGATATTGATATAACCGAATATATTAATAAGATACTTTAGATCAAATTAATGAATGACTTCTTGTGTTTGAACATTATGAATATAACTGTGATATTGATATAACCGAGTATATTAATAAGATATATTTAGTTTTTCGTAATCCTGATTTATATGTGAACTGTTTTCTTTGTGAAATTTTGATTCACGCGTCATAAAATTAATCCCTTATAACGTGACAAAACATTGTTGTTTCCTTGGCAACGAGAAACTAAAATAACAGGAATGAACGTAATAATGAATATCTGATAACATTACGGTGGTGGCTACAGATGTTTATTAAACTGCCTGAGCACACGTAGCACGATGTCGGCCCTATGTATGAATTCCCCCATTGTTGTCGTATAAGTAATGCATGCCCTAAGGGTCAGTGTATTCACAAGCACGATCTAGCCAGGGCTCTTGACCTGAGGTCAAGTGGGACCTGGGGTCGCCGAGAGGGGTTAGATTGGGATTACTGGATCAAAAGATGTGGTCATTTTTGCAAAGAAGACAATTTCATGGGAACTTCACACGGAAGTAACCCGCCATTACTGTTCACTTACAGCATCAGCGTCCGCTGTAGACGCGGACTGAGATACGTACAGACTCATTGTGTGAACCTGAAAACAGTTATCTTATCAGAGAACAGGTGCCCTTTTCCGAGGCCTCTATTAGACCAAGCTTAGTTTAATTATGAAGTAAAACGTGGACTGTTATCTCAACCGTATCAGTTCCCGTGATCTTCAAGATTAGACTTATGCTCTGTGTACCCTTATGGGTGAAAAGGTTACAAATCAGGTTTATTGCATGTGACGTTTGGAAACACGTGATGCATAAACTTCTAACACTTCGAGCATATGACAAGCAACCACACATACATTGGCACTCACAGACACACTCACCCAAACCCACAGCCTATTGTAGAGTGAGTTAGAGTTTACGCCGCATCAACAATATTGCAGCTAATCGCGCCTCCTACAGTAGAGATGGTGTGGTTAGGTACCTCCTATTGTAGAGATGGTGGGGTTAGGTACCTCCTATTGTAGAGATGGTGGGGTTAGGTACCTCCTATTGTAGAGATTGTGGGGTTAGGTACCTCCTATTGTAGAGATGGTGGGGTTAGGATTGGTGGTGGGTTAGGTACCTCCTATTGTAGAGATGGTGGGGTTAGGTACTCCTATTGTATTGTAGAGATG